ATTGCAAAATTATAATTTTTAAAATTTTTATAACTTATTTGATTGTTGAAATTAAGGTTACCAATATTTGTTAAATTAAAAATTTAAAATTAATATTATAAACTTAGTACTTCATTTACTAGTGACAAATAATGTTTATTTGAAGTTTATGATACTTAAATTATATTTCAGTACCGGGTTTTTCGGGAATGACTATACAGTTATATTTAAGGGATAGACAACATCGATTGTGTTAACCTAATATGAAGTCTTGATATACCTCAATATTTTGGTTTAAGAACTCAACATTTTCCGGCTTAAAGAAATCCATATGAAAATGCTAAACTGTTTTCCTAAAAATCACAAGATACAAATAATAAAGATGGCTGGCTATATGTTTTACTCTTAATATCACAAAATCTACAGTCATCAGCAGGAAGCCCCTTTTTCTCAGGCTTGTTAACTTTTTCGTGAGTGTCGAGTCTTTTGTGAGCTTACTCAGATATGAGATTTATGTTGTTTAGGACTAACATGATTTTAATTAACTAAGACTCAAGAGATTTACTACCAAACAATTGAATAATTTCTCAATTAAGATGGTAAAATATTCGATGTTTTTAAAGACATTTGGACGCAATGATGAAATGATTTCCATATATATCCTATTTTGCTGTAAGATATATGATTAAGTGGCTGCTGTAAGAGCCTTACTTTAGATTTAAATAAGTCTGGACTGTGCCATAACAGATGTTCTGCTGTTTCTTCCTTGAACGCCGCTAAACACGATTACAAAAAATTCAAAGAGAAAGACCGAGCCCAGCTTCATGTCAGCCTATAGTCAAGTTTCGCCTGAGAACTGGTATTATATTTGATGCTTTCAGTTTGTTACTTTCGCTTAACTCTGAGGTTGTATAAATTAAGAATGTAAATCATTTCGTTCTTGACCTGTTTCTTGATAAATACTATACAAAAGTGATATTACATTAATCTTTGTTCCTGGGTGGCAGGAACTACTATTTTACAATATTTTTTCAAACTCTTTAAAGCCGATTATTGATTAGAGTAGTCATGACACATAAAATTGAATAAAATTTATTAAAGAGGAGAATATTACACTGTAAACGTTAACATCTATTGTGATTTGCTTAAAGGAGTGTCATCTCGTTAACCCGGTTAGAGATAAACTCATTACAACATCTCTCGGTTCATTACTGTGGACTTTATTTCTTTTAGCTAAAGTCCGATAGCGGTACTATATATACTATTCATTAGTGGCAAGATAGAGGAATATAAAATCTGCTTAATTTGTGGACTTCATTTGTTTTACCTAAGGTCCGATGGCGGTGCTAAATCCATGTTTTGATAGTGACAATATAGAGGTACATAAAATCTGTTTAATTTGCTTTAAAATTATTAAACTTAGGTAATGGCAGATAAAATGAACTATTGATCACTTCATACAAATGGTAAATTGTTATCGCGTGGGCGTCCAATCTAAAACATTCCATTAAATATAATTATAACAGCGTTGTATGGTCAGCTAAATTTCAATAAGTTAATTTTTGTAGTTGTTGTTTCTTCATTACTATTCGAACCCTTCTGGTTTTCTTTTCTACCTTAACATAATTATAGTTTTATACAACTCTGGTAGTTCGAAACTTTTATTAAATTATATAATTTGTCTGGCAAAAAACAACATTGAAGAGTTCTTTGCTCACGGTTTTTCGATATCTTATGAAAAATGTCAATAAAGGATTCAAAATTTCTTAAACTTTTTCTGCTAAATCATGCTCTCGTGTTACTTTTACGGGCAAGATCGTTGTGCAAATATTTCATTGCACACGAATTTTGCGCATGTGAGCCTCAAATTGATGTGTCAATAAAGTGGAAAATCGTGCGTTACAAATATTTTTGAAAATTTTCAGCTAATTTTAAAGCACATCACAGTTTACTCATCTCATAATACAGACTTGCACGTTTAAATCAGATCATTTGATTTGATTAAATCACTAAATTAAAGATACTAAAAAATATGATGACACTTATAAAAATCTCATTTGTTCTTTCAATTTTCACAATTTAGACTACAAATAACGCGAAGATTCGCCAAAAGCAAAAAACAGACGAGACGACGACTGCGACGACAACGACAACAGCAGCAACAACAGCAACAACAGCAACAACAGCAACAACAGCAACAATAGAGAAACCTGAGCAACAATACAGCTGACGGATAGCACAATAAAAACAGATACAGATACGGACACAGACGCAGATACAGATACAAATGCTGAAATATAAACAAACAATATACGAAAAAAATTATTTAAACCTCAGTTACTTGTTGTAGACAGTCGCAGAACGCTCCAAACTGCACAACCTGTAACTACTCAGGCTTAACACTTAAGTCAGAATCAAGAAACCGAGATCAATAATAAAGTATACGCATTCGAAAATTTGGCAAAATAATTTAAATGAAAATATCTTTTTAATAAAAGCAGCAGAATTGTAAAAGTGACATAAAAGCTACTTACGTAAATTAAAAAAAATAAAGTTTAAATAATAAAATAATGCAAAAATGTATTTAAACCGCATCCAAACGTGACCGAATTGTGATAAACAAATCAACCGATTTAATCGTGGTATATTGGCTTCTACACTCTTTGCATTTATTTATACAATATATATTTATATATATATCTAAATATATATCTAAATACTTTTTTCGCATAACTGCAAGTAATCAAGCAAGTAGCAAAAAAGTAAAAGTACCTGAAAACCGCAGTTTCGTAATTTAAACGTTTTCAGTATTATTTCGACTGTCTCACTTCACTAAACGCGCTCCAAACTATTTTAACAGCGCCGCAAATTAATGAATTTAATAAATTAGAATTTTAACGTAATTACTATTTAATAGACGGAAACTAATTAATTATAAAATATATATCTAAATAAATAATAAACCACATACAAAATGTCGACATCAAAGGAACACATCTTCGCCAGTGAGGACAAAGACTTGGATAAGCCAAAAGGTAAGTTCATTTGAAATAATAAAATATTTTATTAATATTATTAGATATATAAGAAATATGTTATATATATATTTGTATATTACTTTTTAAAAATGTTCGTTTAATACGAACGTTAATATAATTATATGAATATAAATAAAAACATTAATGGCTTGAAGGCATTCTTCGTATATTAAAGTTAGATTGGAACTACATAATCAATTAAGTAGAACAGCTATTGATATATTGATTACTCTATTGATATTGATCAATACCAAAATTCCTCGCACACTAATCAAGATCATTGCTATAGTATAAATAAGCGATGATATAAAATATATCTTTTGAACGTGATGATAAATATATGGTATATAAAACAGTCAATTGTGTTGGAAAATTTCCTAAATAAATTAAAATATAAATACTTTTATAAAAGTATTTTAATATAATTCGCGGTTTTTTTATGAACTAATTGGTCAATAATTAATAAACTTTTTTTATTTGTTTTTAAAGGATTTTATTTTAACCGATATTTCGACTATAATCTATAGTCATCATCAGGGTACTATAAAATTTGAATAAAATGTATTAAATTATAATTTTTATTATTATTAAATTTTATAGTAGTCTTCGTCTTCGGTTAAAATAAAATCCTTTAAAAACAAATAAAAATAGTTTATTTAATTATTATTCAATTAGCCCATAAAAAAAGAAAATTAATTTAAAAAATTTTTTTTCTCATTAAAACAATAAATTATTAAAAGATTTATTAAAATTAAAATAATACAAAGCAAAACTGCTTTTATTAAAAATGATTAAAACCTGTTCGTTTATTTAATGAAGTCTTGACTAGTGTCTTACCCCTACTGGCACCACCTGTGTTAATATAATTTAAGATAATATATTCCACTTTAATCTAAGAGATCTGTATACACTTGTAATCATGGGATATATACTTAAAAGTACAATTTAATACACACTCATTCTCATACTCAGCGCTACAGATTTGATTGAATAATTGAATATTTTAGAAGATGACGGACCTATTGTAGTTGGTATATCCCCCTTTGGTCTTATACACAAAATCAGGCGAGGTCAATTACATTATATACTCGTAGAGCGATTAAATTGTGGCATGACTTTGCAAAGTGAACCTTTCTACTCCACCTACGTCTGACTCACTCCACCTAACGCACAGAGAAAAAGCTTTGTTGCGCTCGAAACTTACGCGAGAATATCTGAAGACCTTCTTCAGCCATTTACTTAGAATTGTGGAAATGTTCTTTCCTTACTAAATTAGCAAGAACGGAAGTTGTTTGTTATGCGCGAAGCGTAGTAATAATAAATAAATTTTGATTAAATTACTTTTTACTTTTGTGTACTTTTTCGAATGTATTTATATGCTATTTGCGTGCACGAATTTTGCAATTAGCTCTAGTTTTTTTTTTTTTTGTTGGTTTTTTTCATTGTTGTGCAATATCTAAGCTTGAACTTAATTGTGTGTTTTCTAGGAAATCTGAAATAGTCGATGTCTTACGCAAATTAGTCTATCTTATAATCACAACTGTCATAAGTCATATGCCTCCTAATTAAATATGTGCAAACATTTTTTCCTCGAAATAATTAACTAAAACTGTTTTTGCAATATGTTGATCTAATTTTTTAAAATTTTTAAAATATTTACTTAATAAATATTTCCTTTTTATGTGCAAAATTAATTATAGAAAATAAACTTTTTTAAGGCTACAGCAATAAAATATTTTATCTGAGGGCCCAACTGCTAGTTTTGGAAGATTTTGCTTAATAAAATTATTTTTAAGGCCTCTGTATAATGCTCAGTAAATAATATTTATGAAAAGAAGCTAAAACAAGATGCCATATAAGGACATATTTTATATTAATTTATTTCAATAAAAATAACTAAAACGAATTATTGCCAAAATAACGTTGATTTATATGCCATAAATGTCAGTCAGTAGTTGAGGGCGCTAAGATTATCACGTCAAGGTCTTCATTAGATGCAAATTATAATGTTATAAATAAAAAACATTTGTAGTTTTATTTATATAAAAAATCTATTATAATTAAATAATAAATTAAAATAATATAGAAAATTTATTCCTTTCGAACTTGACTTTTTGCTCAACACTAATAGTTAAGCATATTAAAAAAATTTCATAAATTAATTTAAATAGCAAAAAAACAAAAATCAATAATTAAAAAAATAATTTTCTTCATTTTTAAATTTGTTCTTAATAAATCACTTTTTGGATTGGAATCCTGACTTTTATTTGTCTCAGTAAAACAGATTTTTATATGTCACAATAATAAATACTCAATATTGTTCATAAAATATAGTATTTTATATTATTAATACAGAATTAAGATTAATTAATGTAAACAGAATTCCCCATTTATGACCCACTTTAGTCAAAAGACCGCTTACTACCCACAACAAAGCCACAAAATGTAATTTTAGATCTGAATCTATATTGAATTGCTAAATTTGCTTGTTCTAAAAACTTACAAGGTAATATATTTCCCAGAAAAAATTAGTAATAAATATATACCATATATACATAAATAAAGTGTATCATCAAGCAATTCTCGATCTTCTTATTTTTTTAAATTTAATCATTTAAATCGTTATTTAATGTTGCAATTTGGCATATTAAAATTTTAAGATAATATTTTACGCGTTAAACTAATAAAAATTAATTAAATTAATTCATTTACAAAAATGCATGACATTGAATTTAAAACAAAATTATAGCCAAAAATAAATAATTTGGTAATGGTTGGTTGGTTGGTTGCAGTGGCAGGCCATTAGATAACTTCCATGTACCTCAATTAGCGATTTTTTATCGCTCTGCTACCACATTCCTCTCAAGAACCCAAGTATAGAAGAGTAGACACTAAGTCCACCCCGCCGAATTTAGGTAATTTAATAGGTCTTTCGTCTTCATCGATGAACAGTCCGATAAACTATCAAAGAAGTATCTTCCTAAGAACCTATATCTTCTAGACGCCAAAACCGGGCATTCACAGAGAAAATGTATTATGGTTTCTTTCTTCTGAGGTTTCTTTCTCAGTGAGGATTATGGGGAATGCGCAGTTTCTCTGCGTGTGTTCCTACACACCAGTGATCAGTAAGAACTGCAGTAAGAATTGTAGTGTTCACGCGATCTCTTTTGATGTAATCACCTTAATTTGGTGATATTACCAAAGAAAATTCACTTAATCTTATTAGTAGTATATTAGAAACTTTAACTCATGTAATCCTTAAAAAGCCAGTAATTCTTTAAAGTAAACCAATAATATACTGACGGGAGTAACTATTTATTTATCACTATTTAAACCTAATTCACAGCGATGCTTGTGGGAAATGCAACGAACCAGGTGCAAAGGAAACCCTAAAGCATCTGCTGTGTAACAGTCCGGTTCTCTCGAAAACTCGCCAAAAATACTTAGAGGTTGTCAATTTTACCAAATTGAAGTATATACCTGGAGTTTCTGTTGAAATTCTAATAAAATTAGCTAATAACAAGCGCATCCTAAGCGATGCACACTATCGCTACAAAAATGAAGACTCTAATCTGGTATCGCAATGGACCTTAAAGGTCTACGCGTGGCCTTTTTGGTCTGCCAGCATAACCTAACCTAACTATTTATTTATAATTATAAGAAAATATATCTTATGATCGATGCATGATAAAGTAATAGATAAATATTTGATAAATATTTCTAAGCATTCAACATTTACGAATTTTAAAAATTTGCAAGAAACTCTCGAGGGAAAGTTTTTACTTCATATAAATCGTTTATAAATTATTTATTGTATATATATTACAATAATTAACTTTAATTTAAATAAATCATTTAAATTGTTTTCAGTTTTAAACAAAACTAAAATTATATGTTAAAATCGCTTGACTGAATTCCGAGCTTCAAAAGCTCGAGTCAATCCGTTCTACTGGAGAAGCTCACGTAAGAATGTCAACAAAATTGGCTTTAGAAATAATTTTGTCCCTACTTTGCTATTTTATTTATATAAAATTTAAATAAAATATTTATATTAAAATTAAATCAGCAAAAAAAATTTTTTGTAGACCTTAAATTCCACTGAATTTAAAATTTAAAACCGGGTACCGGCGAAAACTTAACAGACAACGTGAAAAATTGTAAAAATATAAACAAAATTCCGACAATAAATTCGCTCACGTGAAACGAACTCGCCAATTGAAACATAATTAACGCTTTTGTTTTTGTTTTGAATTTTATTTTCATTACAATTCTCAGATAATTTTTTTTAATTAAATTTTTTGTTTTGATTTACGAAAGGTCAACCAGAAAAAATTATTTTCGAGTAATTTTTCAGTAAACACGAATTATAAATAATTTTAACTCTGAATTCTAATCAACTTTTAAAGATCAAATTAAGTACTTCTCTGCTCTATTCTCCTATTTCCCTCAAAATTATTAGAGGGATTATAATTATATATATAGTATATTCATTACTAATACATTAGAATTGTGTGAAATTCTGATATTTCTTGAAAGGGTCCCGAAATAAATTCTTGCAACGGGTCTGTTACAAATCATATGGGATGAAATATAACACACATAGAACTTTACACTATGGATTTTATATCCACTTACTATATATCCAATAGCTGATTAGCAAAATAGATATCCAATGAATTATGACAAATCGATTGTGTAAAAAATTTAAATTTAATTGTTTAGCTTAAATAAGTGCAGTAGGCTACTGATGAAAATGTTAAAAGATATATCCACTTTCAACTCATATGGTGGTTACGCCACGTGGTAGGAATGCCTGCCAATAGATTAGTGAAACAACATTATATTAGAATGTCCATTTGTGACGAAAGAAGAGGGCTGCCATCACAAGATGATATGGCGCTGTTATCACCGATTGAGTAACACTTTAAATACATTTTGGAGATAGATGACGAAAGCGAGAAATATAATTTGATGGAAAGATGTGACTATCCATCTAT